AATCCAGTTTTTCACACAATCAAAAGTTTTCATAAAAAAATTATTTTGACATTTGTCATGCGTGACAGTGAAAATGTTGCGCTGCCGAACTAATGAAGACATATGGCGGCATTTTCATGACAACAAACAAAAAGGAACGCGCGGAAGAATTGAAGAAAATTTACTAGCCTTGCCAAGTTGGCGCAGCAAAGGGTTGTTCTAGCCTATAATTAGGCTGAGAAACGAGTTTGCCCAGACATGTTTTCCTCATCTTCATTTAATCGCCCAAACGTGCAGCAGGTAATATTATATTTTCCAAAGCTTACATTTCACTTATATAATATTTCGAGTCGGTTGATGGCGCTGCCGAAAGACTAATCGCGGCTTAACTGTTCGCCTTTACCCTCCCTCTCATTCTCTCTCGGCCTCTCACAGCTGGCTTTCTGCTTGACATTAAATGCTAATGAAGCTGTCACATCTGCCCACATGCTGTCACTGTCATTTGTAGTCAGTTGTCATATGCAACACCTGCAAATATTTTACAAACATTTATGCAATTTCACCGCGCCGGCACACCGTGGCGTGAAATTTAATCAATTTCGCTGATAAAAAATCATATGCCTTAATATGTCAGCGTGTGACATTACAAAGCGCGAAGAGAAAATTGTTATGATTTTGAATTTTAGGTAGGGAGAGCGTAAAGAAGAGTTGTGCCATAAGAAATATGCTAAAATGACCATTGTTGATTTGAGTTTTGATATTATAATTCCTTACATTGGGTAGTCGAAAAAGTCTTTTCGTATTTTTAATCTAACTTCAACTTATTGGTTTTATATTTATAATGCACTTTAATGAACCAAATATTTACCATTTTGCCATTTTTCCGCCAGAGACATTATTATATCAGTGTAAAACTTTTCTGTTTTCTCGGTGAAAAACTGCGGCAAGTAATTTTTACAGGTTTCACTTGAAGTCAACTTTACTTCATTGAGGAAGTTCTGCATTGACGAAAAAAAATGATAGTCCAATGGTGCTAGGTCAGGGCTATATGGTGGATGCATCAAAACTTACCAGCCAAGCTCTCCCAGTTTTCGCCGAGTTCTGATGGTAGACGAAGTCCTTCCCTTAAGGAGTTCTGGCCGTTTATTCGATTGTTTGCTTCAATCTCATCAGTTCATGACAGTAAAATGTAGAAGTAATGGTTTTTTTATTCTCTGCGACCATTTGTTGAGCTTCAAYACGCTTGGTCCATGATCTTTTTCGCACATTATTGTTGAAGTTGATCCGCATTTCAACTCCTGTTACCATTCGCTTCAGAAATGGTTCGATTTCATTTCGTTTCAGCAAATCATCGCAGACGTTAATTCAATCCATTAAAATTTCCACAGACAATTCGTGTGATATCCAAACATCGAGCTTTGGTTTTGTAGCCCGACATTTTTTTAGATGGTTCAAAACCGTAGCGATTTCATGGCTGCTTATGTGACGGTCCTGGTTAACCTTTTCCATAATTTCATCGACTTTTTTAACGATAGGTCGGCCAGAGCAAGGTGCATCTTTAACATCGAATTTTTCAGAACAGAAGCGAGCGAAGCATTGCTGTGCTACACGAACTGATACAGCATCGTCTCCGTAAACTTCACAAATTTCATTCCATTCGTGGCTTGGGTGGCATTCTTCCCTTTTTTACACAAAAGTTTCAATATATAGCGAACTTCTTCATTATTTTCACTCATTTTTGAACAGCTTCAACTTTTTTTCAACTTCCCCGAATTTAATATTTTTTTTGGTTATATGAAACAAAAAATCTCTCTGCAACAGCATCTATTAACAAAATACGAAAAGACTTTTTCGACTACCCAATAAGTTGACCGATTAAAATCAAGTGCTCATATGGAAAACTTTTCTATTTGACAATATATCTTTACAATCTTCGAACAAATTGAGCGATCTAAATCAAGTGCTTATATTGCAAACTTTTTTATTTTCTATCTCAATTTACTTTGAACATATTTGATATTAAAACCCCGAAAACCTACAACCAATTGCTTAAATTTATGCGAAATGCCCCCAAGTACGCCCGAAAGTAGACCAAAACTGAATGAATTTTGCCATTTAAAGTGCCTTTATAAGCGCTTACTTGGAAGTATTTGCAACTATTAATAAAATCATGTTGAAACTTTGCCGCTCCCTTCGTTTTTCGGCGCACGGTGAACGTTTTACCTCCACCGACACCACATCTCTACAATCATACAACACGTTTTGGCTACACAATGAACCAATATTTTCCGCACTCATTCATTTTTTAAACGAAAACTTTGCACTTCGTGGTTGTTGCTGCTATTTTTGTTGCAGTTTTGCACTTTTTACCTCAATACCAGCACCCAAGGCACTAGTAACGAAAATAGTGCGAAGAAAGGTCGATACACATTTTTGGCTTAAAGCGTTGCAATTCCGCGAATGCCTTTGATGTGCGCAGTGCCGGTAGTGTGGAAATTTAAGCTAAGGCTCTAAAGCCATACAAAAATGACGGCTGAAGAGACTTTTGGAAAATTTGAAGGATGAAGCGATGTTTGGGGGGGTCGGCTGTTTGTAATAACAAAGCGCTAAGATATCCTTGCTGGCGCTGTTGTGTTCGTGTCCAAAGTTTTTTTCTGTATTTTGGTATACACATTGTTGTTGTGGGTGTTGTTGCACGGCATACGCATCGCCAGCATTTGTGGCAAACACTTGAAAATCCATTGGACGAAGTTATTCAAGCGTATTCGGTTGTGCCATGGCTTATGAAGCATAGAATGCAGTCGAGCGCAGCCACCGAAGAGTGCCAGTGCTTGCCAGTGGCAGCAGCAGCAGCAGCCGCACAACAGCAAACAGCAAACAGCAATGTGCAACAACAAACAAAGCAGCTACGATTCATCTTCGCTCTGAACTACCGACCGCAGCGTGCTTTCGCTGGCACTTTGCTCCATTGTTGCCGTTTAAAGTTCGACCAGTGCGTTCGTTGCTTGGAAGCTGCTGCGGTCCATCAGCTAAGCCAGCTGCGCTGCTCTACCTGCTTGCAGCTTTTGCTGACCACACTAGACCCCACTCTAAAAGGCTTCTTTGCAGCCACTGCCGCTAAATCTCGCCACACACCTCGCGTACGCTGCTCTTACTGCGCCGTTCCACTTCCTTACTCTGCACTGTCCGTTTTCTTCTCATCCTTTCTATCACTCTGCTGCTGTGTAGTCTATAAGCTCCAGTTGCGTCTTTGGTTTTGCTGGTTCCGCATCCGGTTTGCCCACTTTGTTACATCAATCCTAATGTCTTCTATGTGCTTTTGCGTTACTGTCTTCTTCGCCGCTCCTGCTGTGCTCTGCAGCCGGTTTAAGTTGGCTTTGCCGGTTGCTGCCTGCAACCGCAGCTCACAGCCATACTCTATACACACATAAGAAGCCATTTGTGTGTCTCTACATACTATATAGTTATATCCAGGCACGCATTGCAGTCGCCGCTAGCTGTCATTGAGTCCTTGTAATCCCATGTAATGGCATACAAGCTCCGTTTCAGGCGCTCACTGGCACGACACCGAATTTAGGGTTAGTTTTGGGTGCGCCGCTTGAATAATATATACTCGTTATAGAAAAATACATAACGTTGTGGAGAGTGATATAGAGAGATAGATATGGAGTGTTCTGAGAGCGCATGTTAGTTGACTAGCGACATAGTCTGTTCGTTCTCATACGTTCGCAGTTAACAGTTTACTCTTGGGGACTTTAGGCTGATCAAAATTTTAACTACAATTTTAGTACGCTGTAACGAGTATAGTGTGTTTGATACGAAGTTTACAGCACCCTATAAATTATATGTATACAATTGATCAACGAACAAGGTAGGTCCATTTGGCCGTCTGTTCTGTGTTCTTCTGTAGATCCGCCAACTAGTCCCTCAGTTTTAGGGATATCGTTATAAAATCTTGCACAAGTCCTTTTTCCTCAAAGAAGCTGTTCGTTTTTCGGAATCGCTAATATCGAACCACTATATCATATAGTTGGCGGTTAAACAGTCCAATCCGAATCAAGTTCTTGTATAAAAAACTTTTTTATTTGATAAGATATCTTCATGAGATTCATACATTCATTCAAACAGACTGTTAAAATTGAAGATTTTTTTATTCAGTTCTATATTTTAGTATCCTTTGCATGAAATCAGTTTCTAAACATTTCTTGCTAACCAATTATTAAACCCATTTCGAGCTCCATACTTACATAGCTTCTACATAAGTTTCCCCACACATATTATTCTCTGTTCTAGAGCGCTCTATCCAACTGGCAACACTTTCCGTTCACCAACATTGCCTTTATTCTCCAAATAGTGTCATCTGCATATCGACGTGTACTTTTTTCCAACTAGATTTACGCTTATCAAAACTGACGCAAGCGCGTGGAGATAGAGCTACTTGCTGCTGTAAGCGCACTTTTACTCTCAAATTGGCATTTAGAGCCGCTCATCTACTGTTGCTGCACTGTTATGGTAATGTAAAGAGTAAAGGCACTGCTGTTATGCCTGACATGACTTGCATGCTCACCCAGGCAGCGGCTCTCTCTCTCGCTGGGCAGCGCCTTTATTGCTTCAGCGCGTCACAGGGGTTGTTTGCCTGCTGTTAGCTCACCTGCGTAGCAGAGTTATTAGTGCGAGTAGTGTGACTAGCGTATAGCAGCTCTCCCAGCACTGGCGCTCACGCCATGAGCGTTCGCTCAGCACTTGCTATGCTAATTTCTCTGCTGCTTTGCAAATTGGACGCTTGTCTAGGCGTTCAGGACGTTGGCGACTAGGTCCTTGCGCTAGCTTGTGGCATATCGTCAGTAATCGGCAAACCATAAGGATCATCGTTGTTGTCAGTCGTGCGTGTTCGTTCGTTGCTTTCGTTCGTTCGTTCGTTAGTTCGTTGGTTCGTTTTTCGAGAACATTCATTTATGATTTTTTGACTCCTGCACCTGCAAAACAAAAAAACAATATATTCTCATATATATATATATATTTCAAATATAATAATATCTGAACAAAAAAGAAACTTTCAATATTTTGTGTTATTTGAAACTTTTCTTAGTTTTTTCGAATAGTTTCGAATAGTTTGTGTACAAACTCGGTTTTCAACATTGTAAGTACCTATATATGTATATGTATATGTGTCTGAAAATTTTTGTCTGGTATAACAAAGTGGCACACCCACACCTTTTACACCCGCATACACACACACACACATATACACGCAAAGTACAAAGTATACTGCACGCATTGCAAGTGAAGCGCCCAGCGCCCAGTGTCCTGCGAATACATTTGGGTTAATTGCAAAGTTTTACGCACCAGAAAGGATATACATAATCTGTGGCTGACATTTTGGGCGTGTGTGAAAGCCTTGTGCTACGGTTGGCTACATTAACCGGTTATTTTAAAGCAAGAAAAATATTTGAAAAATTTACATTTACGTTTTTTGAGTACTTTGGTTTGAATATGAATGCATATGAACCCGGAAATGCTGAGAAAAAAGAACGAATCGAAGCTGAAATCAAAAATGTAACTAAAGATTTTTCAAAAAATTAAAAAAAAAATTTCAAATAGAAATCTGTCATATACAAATTTTTTAATTGATAAAATGAATTATAAATTAAGTCTACATATAAAGAACTAAAAAAAATTAAATATGATAGAAAAAAAATCAAAATAAGAAAAAATATTTGAAAATGTTACAAAAATTTAAAAAAATGATTTGAAAATTAAATTTTCTTGCTAAAAAAGTGTTAAAAAATATTAAAATTTAAATAAAAAAAAAATTCGAAAATTGAAAAAATTAATTTCAAAGTTTTAATTAAAAAAATATTTCAAAATACTTGAATTAAAAAACTTAATAAAATTTGTAAATCAATTGCTTCAAAAATTTATATTAGTTTGTTTAATAAAGAAAGATTACTTTCTTTGTTAAATAAAAAAAGTTAGCAAATTTATTTTAAAAAAATAATACTTCAAACCACTATTAACTACAACACATGCTTTAAAGTCTGCGCAATTAAGGCGCCAGACCCCCTGCCACCCATTAATGATATGCAATAGCTGTAAAAAAAGCTTTCAGACACTCTCTATTTAAAATGTAATTAATCTTTGTCCAACACTCAAAACGATTSCATATTTGTAGGCGTCGTGGAGCACAGACATAAATGTGAGTAATAACACATGCGGTTTATAGCCGACAAGCGATAGAGTTAGCCGGGCTGTACGTGTAAAGTCGGTTAATGTTCTAGTAATGGGTGGAATGATGTGGCGGAATATAAGTTGAATTAATTACTCAAAATCCATTAACATGCATTGTGAACGTAGTTAGTTTAAGTTAAACAAAAAAAAAATTTTGAAATTTTAAACGAAATCAACAGTTTTTAAAAGTATATTTCAATATATTCAATTTCTTTTTAGATACTTTTTTCGGAAACTACATATTTAGAATTTTTTATAAATTATTTGGAATTTTTTCTAAACTATTTTTTTTATTAAATTTTGAAATTTTTGAATATTTCGAAATTATTTTGACATTAACATCTAGAAATTTTTTAAACTACTGTAATGTCAAATTTTTGAAAAAAGATTGACATTTTTTAAATATTTTTAAGTTTATTGAAATTTTTTTTATATTTTGTAATTTTTTGAACTATTGTATTGTGAAATTTTTGAAAAAAGTGTTGAAATAAAAAAAAATTAAATTTAATATAATTATAAAATAATTACAATATTTCTGCCAAATATTTCAATTATTGCATTTTTTTTTGTAGATATTTGGTAATTTATTAATTTTTTTATTAAGAAAAACAATTTTCTGCAAATAATTATTTGGGCCTAACGAATAGCTATCATCCATTTTCCTGTTATTTACGCATTTTTAGATTTTATATTCGCCATATACCTCCAAACCACCGTCAAGCAATGCTAACAAAATCAGTACACCAAACCACACACACACACACACACACATATGTAAAGCCACCCAATTCCACGCTGGTCGCCACTATTCAACGAGTAATAACAATTTCGCCATAAACAAGCTACCATGCACCCACCCATAGCACCCACGCACACACTTACAGACCATAGATTGCTGAAAGAGCCACCCACTAGCGCAACGCCGAAAACACGTAGACTGGTTTCCACACACACACATACAAGTACACACATATATAGTCGGATGGCGAGCCACTCAACTCACACCAGCACGCCAATGGTGGCCGCTCGCCACACTGCTGCTGGTGGAAATATAATCAATATGAACCATAACAACAGCCTGCAAAGTGGAAAGCTGCGAGCGAATAAAATTCAACCCCGAAAATAGAAATAGCAAAAGCGTTGAAAAGGCTTGTGGAGTGGGGGGAAGGACGTAGTAGCGAGTATACACATATTTAGTTGTGGCATAATATGCCGGCGGTTGGGGGAGTGGATGGTGAATTTGAAGTTTAGACTTGCGGCGTGGTGTGGGCTGCTGGGTAGTGGTAGGTGCGGGTTGCTTTCGGCATGTTTGCGCTGGCGGCGACAAGGAAACTATCTGTCTGCCGGGAAAAAGTAAAGCAAACAGCAGCAACAACAACAATGACGACAACAAAAACAGAAAATGAAATGCTTTTTGTTGCCTAGGAAAAATAAAAATTTTGCGGGAGCTTGTGTGTGTATATCTACTTGTATATATGTGTGTTTGGGTGTATATGTAGACTACGTTAGCATTCAAGCCAGCAATAGAAAGAAATGTATACAAAGAGTATAATAAAAATATAGAATAAATAGAAGGGAGAGGCCGTCGAAAAAGTTGTGTCGTTAGTAGTTGCCAAAAATAGCAAAAAAAAAATAGCTTTTCACAAAAACAACAATAAATTATGACAACATGTTGGCTACTTTTTGCGGCGCTATAAAAATGGCAGAAAATCAAAGTGCAAAAACAACACAGGCAGCAAAAATAAATTACAATAAAATGTGAAAATAAACGCTGTCACCGCTTTACAACATTAACAACAACTCGCAAATTACTATTAAATATTAAAGCAGCCTGTCAGGCGTTGGCCTGCCGCGTGCCTTCAGCTTGCTTTGTCATTCTTGGCATGCGCGCTCTATTCTTGTTTTTATTTTTGTATTAAATTTTTGCTTTTCGATTTACGTGCAAAAAAAGCGACTTGTCATGGCAGCAACTACTTTATGATAATGTTGTCATATTTCATTGTTTGCGTGCGGCGACGCCTATAAATTTCTGGAATTTCTTTATTCTTCTGTTTGCTACTTTTTTTATGTTTACTACTTGCTGAAAAAAACACACTTGTTTTGTATGAGCATAGTTTTTGGGCGCATATGTTCTATAAAGCGTTCTAAAAGGTGCGACAAACTCCAATTTGCAAACTCAACAGTTTTTAAAATGAATCTAAAGTATTTCTCAAGCCGTCTCCAGCCAAAGAAAGCTTATTTTTAATTATAAATTTATTTTCTACCTTGACACGTAATGTTCTTTAAGCTAAACATAGGTCATACTATTGTCTCACTCATTGAATGAAATCTTGCTTTATTAAGTCTCAGCCTCAATAACTCTTTTAACGATTTCTCAAGGTTTTCTCAGTTGAACCTCAGAGGTTCTCAAACTATTTCCAAACCATATTTACTATATTTTTTCGACTTGTTATCAATAATTCTATCAATAATTGGCAATAAGCTACAATATTTAGCTCTCTCTCTTCTCAATAACATTTTCAGCTATTTCTCAGTGCTTTCTCAATTTAGTCTAAAACATTCTCAAACCATTTTCAAAATTCAATTATATTTCTCAAATAAGTATCAAACGTTCTCATGCCTTTTTCAAACCAAATTTATCATATTTTTTCGACTTCTCGCCAACATTCCTAACTACCAACCAACAATCTGCAATATTTTGATCCAAAATGTAATTTTTTATTTTCAATAGTTTTCTCAAGTATGTATATATTAAACCCGTCTCAGCAGATTTTCAAATTTATATCAAAGAATTCTCATTACTTTTATAAGACAATATGCAATACTTTTTCTAATACATTTTTATATGTTTATTTCCTTGTATAATTAAGTCCTAAGCCAATACTAAATCCAATTAAATGTTCTCTATACAAATTGCTAATATACCTCCATTCGAAAGGACTGCTTTATTATTTCTAAATTTAACTCGTTCCTTTAGCCCTACTCAACTCTAAGCGAAATGCTATTTAAACAGTTCTGAAAGTTTTCTAAACCCACTCTCAAACAAAATTTAATTATTTCTTTACTTAAAAAGTCTGCAATCCTCAAGTTCCCTTCAATATTTGTAGCTTGAGTGCGGAATCTTATTCTCAATTGATTTCTCAACAGTTTCCTGTTTTCAGCTCACGAATTTCTAAACTTTAAACTAAAAAAAAATTTCACGAATTTCTAAACTTTAAACTAAAAACTTTTCGTAAATTTTCTTTATCACTTTCATTCATCCAGTACTTAGTCACATTCAAGTTTGCTAAAGTTAACTTTAAATTCTTCTTCTGTATTGGCGTAGACACCGCTTATGCGGTTATAGTCGAATTTAACTTTAAATTAATAGAAATATATTTCGAATTGATTCCAAACGTTTCTCTGGTTACTCCTAAACAAAATAAAATTTTTTCTTAATTCTTTCAATTCACTATTAGAAAAAGTCCTCGGAGAAATTCCGTTTATATTCTCAATAGGTTTCTCCACAGTTTCTCAACTCCATCTCAAATTTTAAATCTGTTCTGATTTCTAATTTCATAGATGATTTTCTAATGCTTTTATTAAATAGAGAGAACCCTTTTTAATTTTCTTAAACTGTTTCAAGCCTTTCTCCAACCACACTCAACACATTGTCAATGATTTCTAACAACAATTGATTTTTAAACTTCCAAATCTTTAATTATAGAACTCACTTTGACTTAATATCTTTATATACAAAAATCACGTGTCACGTTGTTTGTCCGTGATGGACTCCTAAACTACTGAACCGATTTTAGTAAAATTTAGCACACTATGTCCGGTTCAAATCAGCTTAGAAGATAGGATAGTAAAAGCAATTAATTAATAAAAAAATACAACGAACGCTCCATTAAATGGACGCTCTATTATGCG